TGCCCAGCATTCCCTAAAAAGCATCTTGTGAAGGCTACCAAGTTCGGTGGAATAATTCTGTGAAAGAGACATCCTTCACTGATGTCAGATTTCTGATGTAAATGGTGTCCTCACATGATCTTGGGCTCTTGGTTCCCAAGGGAAAATTTAAACTGGCTGGAACACCCAGACAACAAGGCTCTTTCCAACCAGGTAAAACCCTGTGTCACCCCATAACTCATGCTGTTTCTTGATATTTGCATAAAAGACAGAGCTGCAATTACTCACCCTGGTATCGGTTCCATGAGCACATATGTTCAATAGCCATACGTGAAAGAAGTGTATTGAACTCTGTTTTCCAAGTTGTCTTCTGACTGTAGAAAGCTGGGGGACCTCTGCCTATACCCTAGGGTTCCATGTTATAGAGCTGATGCATCTCCTTTTTTGTTCCTCTAGGTCTTCCATTCACTCATTCACTTGTTCATTCATTCAGTTAACACACCAGGCACCTATGAGCTCTCAGAGCCCAAGGCCTTGTGGCCTATGATCAGAAAGTACACCCATGTGACCATGAGCACACACTGGAACAGTGCAATTAATGAAGATCTATCATCACTACTCCTTTGGAACTCTTTGGAATGAAGACTCAGGATACAATACTTATTCTTCTGCAAGTATTCACATGACATTCTCTTTGTGCCAGGCCTCTCTCCTTCTGTTGAATGTTGGCCTACAGAGTTGAAGAGGACATCTTAGAAACTACCAATCTTGGGAGATGAAGATGGGGGGAAACTGTAATGCGAAGTTAAAAAAAAAAGAACTGAGGCTGGACACATCTGGGCCCAAGCTTTGTGGTCTAGAGCAAGTTACTCGCCCTCTCTGAGTACATCTACTTGCCCACAAAGTAGAGATAATCCTTTTATGTGTACAGCATACTTGTTATTATAGTAGGTTACTTTTTTTTTTTAGTTTTTCATATAACTCATATTTTTGTTTATTTTTATTTTAAAATTCCTTATCAATTAACTAAAATATTTTCCAAAATAGGTAATATGGGTACGTGGTAAAAAGTTTACCATGAAAAGTAAGTCTCTTTCCCCCATCCTATAATCTCCAGAACCTCTCTCCGGGGCAATTGCTGTTACCACTACTAGTGTGTCCCTTAAGAGATAGCTAAACCTTATACAAAATACACACACATCATCTAGCTATTTTTATTTACCAATATGTCTTAGAGATTGTTCTGTAATAGAATATGTAGACCTGCCTGAGGGGCAGGTGCTTGGTCTTCCATTAATTTGATTTACCCGCAATTTGATTTGATCTATCCCTACTGAGGAACATTGATGTTGTTTTCCTTATTTATATTTCAAGTTTGCTGCAGTTACTATCACGTACACACTTCTTTGAGAGTTTGTGTGTGTGTGTCTAGGATAAGCCCCAATAAGCAATTAAATGTTATTTTATTCTTATGCTCCCAAGAAATCTATGAGGGTTTTGTTGTTGTTGTTGTTGTTGTTTTAGAGAAGCTGAGACCATTACTTTGATGACTTTTTACCACTGAGTTTTGGGCTTTATTTGATAGGCATTGTGTTCTGATCTCTTACCCCTCAAGGCTTGGCCAGGGTCTCACTCATCTAGGGGTAAAGAGGAGGAAGAGTGGGAAGAGCATGGGCCTTGGTCTCAGTGCTTCTGTCCCCACCTCTAGTTGTGGGTGAGGCCAAGTGCATCACCTTGCCATGCCTCTTCTGAATGTGTCCATGGTGGGTACAGTGGTTTCATGCCTGTAATCCCAGCACTTTGGGAGTCTGAGGCAGGAGGATTACTTTAGTCCAGGAGTTGATACCAGCCTGGGAAATATAGTGAGACCTCATCTCTACTAAACAAACAAACAAACAACAGCACTGTTCCTCAGAGTCACATAAGCACTCGTTGAAAGTGACGTTCCCGCCAACCCTTCCTCTGTAGCATGTACAGAGTGACTCACGGCAGGGATTACAATAGGCTGGCTGAGCACTTACTGCATGCATAGCCCTGGACAGGTGCTCAGAAAGACATCTGTGGGAGCTGGATCAGGTCTTTGCTGGGGACTCTGAGTCAGCAGGGAACCGGGATGAAGGCTGCTAAGTGTTGCTCTCCCCTCACTGAGTGGGCCCTCTGGATGGCAGCAAACGGTCCTGAACCAAACTGGTGCCCATAACAAGCCATCTGGCTCTCAATAATATCACAAGCAGCCAGGCAAACTCACCCCTCCCACAGTATTAACTGAAAATACACCCCATCTGCAGTGGATAAATCAACCTATCTCCTCCATTTTGTCTTTATTGAAGTCTTTGTCTAGATGAATTCTTCTTGTTGAGATGACATTACCCCTTCATGGCCGTGACAGTGCCTGACTGATGTTTCTGTGAGTCCCCTGCCATGCTAAGCCCAGTGCTGTGGATACTTCATCCATGTTTGCTGAATGGACATCAACCCTCTCCAACCAGGATCACCTCTGGCTTATTTGAAGTCTTGATGGAAATTAGAGATGTCCCCATGAATATGGCAGCAAGACAAGGGGCTGGATTTGGAGGACACCCCCCCCCCACTAGACAACTTATCAGTTGCTTATTTCTTATCCCTGCTTTCTCCACAGTTTTATCTCAGAGTCCTTCCTCTTGTCATGAATATCCCTGTAGTAGGGCAGTGAATTAAATATAGGACTTTCCTTTCAGAATTGCAGAGAGGATTAAACAGATAATAATACATGTAGAGCAATGAGCCTGACAGCTTAGTAAAAGCTCAATAAAGAGTGTCTTACTTCTCCCTCTCCCCAAGTCTAAAAAGGAAGCATGTTTTATTTCAGGGAAAAATAAATTAAATGACCTTCAAAGACCAAATTCCCAGGATGCCCAGGGTGAAGGTGAATCATGGGAGTTCACAGGCAGCCTCAATGATTCCAAAGATTCAAAGGGCTTCTGCTGTTGCACATAATGCAGGAAACAAAATTAACATGTATTAAGTGCCTGCTGTTTGTGACACCCTCTGCCAAGTGTTCCCCTTAGAACACCTCTATGACCAGGCGTGAGAATGAATCCTAATCTTGCAGACGAGGAATGTCAGGCTCAGTGTTTCCAAACTCACCCATCACTCAGCTAGAGAGGGAAGATATAGTAATCAAGAGAGTAATCAGGAGAGCCCGAGTCTGCAGAAGCTCCTGAACTGAAGTACTGGCCACAGGCGCAAAGAGATGCAGAATGATTTTTATTGACTTTGGCTGCCTCTTGAGGTCAACTTGGCCAGCTCTTTTCCCTGGGGAAAGGGAAGGGAGAGGATGGTTAACTCAAGTCCCTAATATAGGGACTCTGAACATGAACTACCAAGGACTTCACCATTTCTGCTCTTATACAACAGCACGTCTAGGAAGTTTATGCTCTGTGAAAGCTACATGTACTGTTTCCTCAGCTATCAGCTTGAGTCATATGAAACTGACATTTACATAGCTCAAAAATAGCTGCATGTCAGCAATTTTATACCATTCGACTTAATTAAATGTCATTGATTAAGGTCACAGCTAGAGGTTTCTCTCTGAGAAAAGGGCATTGCAGCCTGGAGCAAAGAAAATACACATGTTCCCTGGGGTTAAGAACTCCATCACAGCTCTAGTTGGCCCAGGTCCAAAAAGCCCTGGCCCACTTTATTCTGGAAGAGTCTAGGTGAGACACAGAACATAAAGCAAAAGCTGGGAAGGGAGAAGCAATGCCCTGGCTGGGTGGGCCTTCCTCTTGGCAAGACACCACCTGGGTAAAACCATCATAGAAAAGATGCAGTGGGGTATGGAAAGCCCCTTGGTTAAAGCGTGAGCTCTGCTTTTAGTTGTGGTGAAGAAGGAAGCAGTGACAACCAAGAGGCCTGCTCTAAGGACACCTAGAGTTTCTCAGGGGCCTGTTTGTGGTATCACAAGAGCTAGGAGGAAGCTCCCAGAGGAGTTATGTGAAAGGACTGCCTCTCAGCCACTTCTGGAGTAAAAGACCAGAGAGTCCTGGCTGGGAGGAGGAGGGGAGTGTGCCTTGTGCAGAAATGCCTCCTTTTTCAAGTCCTTCTCAGATGGAAACAGGAGACAAGAATAGTGGGGAAGCCAGGTCAAAGTGAAATACAGGACTGGTAATGATCAGGAGAATCAGTCTCTCGGGACCTAGCTCAGAAACCTAACTGAGCCCTGTCCTCCACCTTGGTTCAGTCAGTCTTTCCATGACTTCAGAGTCCCGGATGATGGCAAAGCCACCTCTTCACTGAGGGTTGTAGCATGAACAACAATACAGGTTTTTTAGGACTGAGGGGTTTCTGATATATGGGAACCCCCAACAAGTTAATCATTCTAAGGTATATTACTCTGTCTGATGCTTACTAAGGAAGAGAAGGACTTGTTGGTCCCAAGAGGAAGAGAAAGAGAAATGGCTCTAAAAACAAACGGCTCTGGATCTGAGAACTCTCTCTCCAGGCCTCGCTTCATGGAGGAGAAATGAGGTTTCCAGAGGATGTAGAAGGTGAACATAAAGAAAGAGGATGGAGAATCGCTTTGGGGAAGTTTGGACTGGAAGTATCAATTACAGTCACACTACTAACATCCCACCCCATCTCACCCCTCACCTCCTGCTCATGGTTCTCTTTCCCCCATCCCCATGTTGGTAAAGCTAGATACCTTTTGGAGAGACTTTTGAAAGTCAAACAAAAAGATATCTGTCTCATGCTTCGAAAGTCCTAGAGCCAAATGCTCATGGAACCATTTATTGCGTGACTGGGAAAGTCATTAAATCTCTCAAATACCTGACTGCCTCTCCTGTCAAAAGAGTCTGTTGCAGCCTTCATCACAAGACTTTCGTGGGGATTAAACAAGATGGCATGTGTGAAATTGGGAAATGTCATGGGCACCCAACCAATTTTTGTTTCTTCCTGCCTGCCTACATATGGGGCCAGATAGAATTCCAACTGTGTTGCTCTGAGAACTAACACTGTGACTTGTTTTCTTTTTGATTCAGGCCCTCACCATGCCCACTCTCATCCCTGAATCAACTACAGAATTCTTTGAGTATGATGAGTCTGCTGAAGCCTGTTATATCGGGGACATCGTGGCCCTTGGTACAGTCTTCCTTTCCATATTCTACTCCCTTGTCTTTGCCTTTGGCCTGGTGGGAAATTTGCTGGTGGTGTTTGCCCTCACCAACAGTAAGAAGCCCAAGAGTATCACTGACATTTACCTCCTGAACTTGGCCTTGTCTGATCTGCTCTTTGTAACCACTTTGCCCTTCTGGACTCATTATGTGATAACCGAGCAAGGCTTCCACAATGCTGTGTGCAAACTTACTACTGCTTTCTTCTTCATCGGCTTTTTTGGAGGCATATTCTTTATCACCGTCATTAGCATCGATAGGTACCTGGCCATAGTCCTAGCAGCCAACTCCATGAACAACCGGACCGTGCAGCATGGTGTCACCATCAGCCTGGGCGTCTGGGCAGCAGCCATCTTGGTGGCAGCACCCCAGTTCATGTTCACAAAGCAGAAAGGAAAAGAATGCCTTGGTGACTACCCCGAGGTTCTCCAGGAAGTCTGGCCTGTGCTCCGCCAAATGGAAGCAAATCTTCTTGGCTTCCTTCTTCCCCTGCTCATTATGAGTTACTGCTACTTCAGAATTATCCAGACGCTGTTTTCCTGCAAGAACCACAAGAAAGCCAAAGCCATTAAACTGATCTTTCTGGTGGTCATTGTGTTCTTCCTCTTCTGGACACCATACAACATTATGGTCTTCCTGGAGACACTCAACCTCTATGACTTTTTTCCCAGCTGTGACATGAGGAGGAATCTGAAGTTGGCCCTCAGTGTGACTGAGACGGTTGCATTTAGCCATTGTTGCCTCAATCCATTCATCTACGCGTTTGCTGGGGAGAAGTTCAGAAGGTACCTTTACCACCTGTATGGGAAGTGCCTGACTGTCCTGTGTGGGCGCTCAGTCCACGTCAGCTTCTCTCCATCTGAGTCTCAAAGAAGCAGGCAGGGAAGTGTTCTTAGCAGCAATTTTACTTACTACACAAGTGATGGAGATGCATCTATCCTTCTCTGAAGGGCTCCCCAAAGCCTTGTGTCTACAGAGAACCCAGAGATCCTGAATCTGACACTGAGCAATAAAGGCAGATTTTTGTTGTTATTTCTTACATGTGAGAAATCATGGACCTGGTGCCCACACAATAATCCTAGAGTGTTTTTGAGAACTGTGCTCAAATTTGAATGATAAAGAGTAGACTAGTCTGTTACTACAGATGTCAGGACATTTTTGTTTACCAATGACAAAAGTTTGACCCAGACTAGCTTATTTTTAAAAGGGATGGTGAATATTCTTCACACTGTGGTACATGCAAAGGAGTGGCTGAGTTCTCAAAGTGAGTGGAAACCAGGGCTTGAACTTCCTTTCTCTGACCTCCAAATCTTTGAGTATTGACAGATCTCCCAGACTTACATAACACAACTTTATTACCAGAAAAAGACTGATGCCCATGCCTCTCTGGTCTCAAGGCCAAAAATTCCAGAGAAGAGTTCCAATTGGCCAAGTTTGTATTAGGTGCCCTGGGACCAGGTGGTGGTATCCATCAGGAAGGGATATATAAGATGGAAGCTTCTAATCCAAGCTCATGGCTAGAGGACCAGGAAGACATATTTCCATGAAGTTGGAGCGGTGGGGACTTTTCTAAGCAGACAGAACAAGAGCTACACACCATCCTTTCATGTACCTAACCACACCAGCCAGCACCCACTGTTAGCCTCCCCTTCATTTAGTACCTTTCTATCATATAGGTATATCAAACCTACAATGCGCCCCACTGCATCAAGACGAAACTCAAGTGTCAGGTCTCTGAGACCCTCCATCATGTCGTCCCATTAATAGATTTCCCATGGCCTCCCCCTCCCCAAAGTACTCCACCCACTCTGTCAGCCAGGTCTCTTCCATGGGACCTCACACATCTCCACCCACTTCCAGGCCAGGAGGAGAAATAGAAAGAACGCTGCCCCAAAGTAAGAAGGGATGGATTCCAATCCCACCCTGTCACTTGCCCACTGGGTAGCTTGGGACCAACTGAGCTTCAGTGCCATCATCTGTGAAAGGGAAGTAATGATATATTTCACTTAGGGTGTATCTTTCCAGAATGAGGAAATAGCCACCAACTCGTGCAGGTCCCAACTCACTTGTCTGGTCCTCAGACTTCAGCTTTCCCTGCACTTGGCACCGTTGCACCGTGCCCAAGTGGTGGTGCTGACAGAACTTGGGAGAGCCTGTGGGCTCTGCTGCGTGGCATAGCCTAGACACAGAGGAACCTGGTTCTTACAGTGGCACTCAATGAACACTTCTAAGTCCACAGAGTGATAGCCCTCTCCCAGAGTGTCTTGACTATTCCATCTCAGTCACCTCATGGTAAGCCCCTGACCATTGGCGGGGGGGAGCTATAATTCATGTCACTGCCAACCTGGGGGCCAGGGGCCACAGAAGCAGCTTTCTTTGTCCAGAAACATCTGAGATGGTCTAAAATGTTAAAGCCTGGAAACTAATTGCAGTAGTGATTTTTTAAAACGTCATCCATAATCTAACCATGCCAATATTGTCATTTCTGCATTCACCCATCCAGGTCCTCTTCACAAGTTCAAAGTTGCAATCATAATGTACAGTTTTGTAACCTGCTTTTTTGCTCTGAAATTTAGACTCCCAATAGCTCTCTATTTCTATGTAGTTTTGTTATTAGCATGTTAGATGACTTTACCAGACTGTGTACTCATTAAAGGCAAATGTGATGTCTGATTCATTGCTGCATATTTGATACTTGCTTGGCAGTCTATATGTTTGTTTAATAAATGAGAATGAGTCATGTTTCTTCAAGATCAGGCACCATAATTTACTCACCATCACTCTGTTGGTAAACATTTCATGTGTTTCCAGTGTTTAGAAAATACAGATTTCACAGCACATTCATCCGTATAATTTCCTGTCTCCTGTCCAGTTATTCCTTTTGATAAATTGCTTGCCATGGGGATAACTGAGTTAAAGGGTATGGGAACTTCTTAGCTTTTGATACATACATATGAGGTTAGCATATTACAAAACCTGTATTGGGCATGTATGATACACAGCTTGTGAGCTCAGATCCAGAGCCATTCCAAAACCACGAGACCAAGCTCTTGCCCTCAAAGATTTAACATTTAAATGAGGAACGGCGGTGTGAATGAATAAGCATGCTTGGTGTTAAGTGGTAGCACAGGGCAGTGACCTCCACCTGAGTCTTTAGGGGAAAGGAATTTTCCAGGCGTAGAAAGGACAGCATCCCAGGCTGAGGGAACAGTGTGTATAAAGGTGGTGTGCGAGAACACCAGGATCTTAGGCTGTGAGAAAGCTTTGTGTGACTATTGAACAGCATTGGAAGCAAAGCAGGTGGTAAGAACTTTCTGGAGCTTGGGTTGTTAGCTGTAGCTGTGGTCTCAAATAACCAATAGAGGAGGTTGGTTCTCAGGGTATTCATAAGGTTTCTCCATTGTTACCTGATCCTCATTCCTACTGTTGAATCATGAAACTTTTTCTTTTCTTTTTAAGAGATAGGGTCTCCCTCTATCACTCCCACTATTCAGGCTGGAGTTCAGTGGCATGATCAAAGATCACTGCAACCTCAAATTCCTGCATTCAAGTGATCCTCCCACCTCAGCCTCCAGAGTAGCTGGAATTATAAGTGCACACCACCACACCCAGCTAGTACTTAAAAATTTTTTGTAGACCCAGTGTCTCACTGTGTTGCCCAGACATGTCTCCAACTCCTAACTTCAAGTGATCCTCTCCCTTTGGACTTACAAAGTGTTAGGATTTACAGGTGTAGGCCATTACACTTGGCCTCAACCCATGACACTTTTGATTAAAGTTTAACCTATATCTACATTTCCAATAAGGAGGAAATAATTATTTTTGCTTGAGAAATAAAAGTAGGAAAACAAACACTTTTATTTCTAGAAGGAAATTAAATATCTATTATAAGAAACCCATATTCACTCATTCATTTTGCTGAACAGGACAAAATAGGGAGAAATAAAGAAATTCATTGAAAAACTCAAAATAGCAAGGATGTTGATTTCTAAATTAAGGAAGTCATATTTGAAAAGAACAGTTGGTCCTCAGAGCCCAGCTGATCAGATTCACTCCTGCCTTTATGCTCTAGACTTTCTAGAAGCCCAGGAGTATGGTGGAGTTCAGAAGCAGAGAAATCTGGGATGAATCGCAGTGTATTTACTCTGTGACCTTGGGCAAGTTACTTAACATCCCTGAGACTCAGTTTCCTCATCAGAAAAATAAGGATAAAAGTAGTTCCCACTTAGTAGGTTATAGCAGAGGATTTAGTAAGATTATTCCCGTAAAACTCACAATGTAGACTAACAAAGCAAGCTCAAATATATGGTGGTGATTATTTTTATTATTTTTCTCATTATTATCATTAGATTAATATTTTCCCAACAAAGAAACTCATATTATATTGTCCTTGCCTTTTTGCTTTTCTTAGTCCCAGAATCACAGATTTTGGGGTAGTCAGAGATAACTGGGTCCAAACCCACACTTTGTAGGTAAGAAAAAGGAACCCCAGAGAGGCCAGAGGCTAGCCCAAGATCCCACCGTGAATTACTGAGTAAGATAGATCCTTGATTCATTCTGATGAAAATACAGATCAATCTTGCCTCTATGGGTAGAGAAAACAGGTGGGGCAACAGAGAATCCCCAGCAAGAAGGTCTGCAGGTGGATGGCTGGGCAGGAAGGAGCGGTGCATACAATGGATGCCCAGTGTAGCCGAATCAATCCAGACATTGACAGGTGAGTGCTTTGGCAATGGCTGTTCAGAGACATCAATATCTCTAATGACAGATGGTGACAACAGACAGAGACTCATCTGCAAAGGATACAGAATTCCCATCAGTCACCTCCAGCAGAATCTGGGTGGGTGGGCCAAGCCTTAGACAGGCAGGATGGCAAACAAGGGACGACCATAGCCAGGGGCTGTCGAGTGCTTAGGGGAAATTCAAGTCCCTTCCAAAGAATTCTACTTCAAACTTATTCTATGCTCGTTAAATGACATTCTAAGGGAAAGTCCCCTTCCCATGGACCTTGAAGCCAAAAAATATGGAGAATATATGCTTTAGGTTACTGGGAAGAACTATCAGCCCTTATAATCTATTGCACCTGGAATGTGTACAGGGTCTAGGGTCTACTGGTCTTTCCATTCCTCTCTCTCTCTCTGAGATGTTATACCTAAATGTCCAGGGAGAAAGTTCACTTCCAGGCCCAAAGGCCAGCAACTACACCTCAGAACATGGCAACCTGACTGAGCAGTCCACCTTGGATAGCACCTTGTCCCAAGTTCATGGTCCCATTAGTGCCTCCAAAATTGGGACAGCATGTCCCATCTCAGAAGCTGACTTTCTTCTCCATTCACTGATCCATGGGGACCACATTTCATTGTGACTTGTAATATCGTTTGCTTAACTTGCTGAGTTGGCAACCACACTTTGGGCTACATGAGAGTAGTATGATCTGAGAGCAAGTGAGAGAAGTCGGTCTTAGCAAATTTAGAAATATCTGCTTTCTCTTCAAGATACTCTCCATCCATAGGATGGCCAAGGGCCAAGTTGTTTTCTGGAAGATATGTGGCATCATGTTTCTATTTCTGTTGTATTAGGGCAAGTTGTTAGGCAATAGCAAGATCTCCTCCAGACACACCCGAGATAGCACTCGCAACCGCAAGACATGCTCAGCAGGAAAATTACTCTTTCACTCCATAGTTCCTCGTTTATTTAGATAGAAACAGAAATAATTTTAAATTGTATTTTGAATTACTAGATAAGATTTGTCAGTTTTCAAGGTGTTTGTTTTACATTTTTCATATTTTTTCTGATTCTAAAAGAAACAGTCACTATAGAAAATGTGAAAAATAAAGAAAAATAAGAAATTTTAATTAAAACATTTTTTAATTACACAGCATTCTACCTCCCAGAGATATCCATTGATTAACACTGAGATGGTTTTCTTCCGTGTCTTTCTCTGCAGATAATTAAAAAAAAAAAAAATTTCAGGAAAGACATTTCTCAAAAGAAGAGGTACAAACGGCCAACAAGTATATGAAAAATGCTCAACATTGCAAACTATTAGGGTAATACAAATTGAAACCATAATGAAATATCACCTCACATTTGCCAGAATAATTTTT